GTTACAGTCATATGTCAACCTCGACGCATGTGAATTGTCTGTCTGTCTGTGTATGCGTATGTGCTCGCATGTGTTCAAAAGACTTCCTTATCTAATTTAGGTTGCAATTTCTCTCTTTACTAAATCTGTTCAACAATCCCATCGAGATTTGAAACTGGATGATACTCATTAAGTGGTGGCACATCACATATATAAATAAATACATGTATGCATATTAACGGAAAAACGGAGATAAGAAACATCGTAATTGTGTTGTATAGCTGCAGTGCACATTTGAGAGGCAACTAGGCAATAAAAATTGATTTAGGCATAACTAGATGTGAATAATAAATACGAAATCACAACTAACAATAAAACTGTAGGCAAAACAGATACAACTAATTAAAAGTATTTAGCCCATTGCCAGCCAGTTGAGCATTAATTCCGCTAAATAAATAAGCATGAAAAAGAAGTGGTTCAACGGATGGCAGGAGAACAATTAAACAAGCTTACTCCAAGCAGACCGAGAAAAGCAAAAAGCGTCAACTCGGCGACGTGCCATTGAGCTTTGTAGTCCACGTAGAACATAACCAAATGGTCGACACCGAAAGGATTCATCATACGCAATATGTTGGCACTAACCATTGCGCAGAAAAAAGAGCGAAACATGGTTTTCATAGGGAAGTAGTAGCTAGCTTCCTCTAGAGAGAAGAGAACACCGCCGATTGGTGCACCAAAGGCAACAGCAACTCCAGCAGCAGCAGACGCAGAGAGAATCTGCTCGAAGGTCAGGGCATCGAGACAAATGATAAAGTCAGAAGTCAGAAAATGGTTAGTCTAGTCTTTATAATATAATATTTTTAAACGAACAATTTTTCAATCTTATCAAATAAATAACATTTTGGCAACCGTGCAAACGAAGATTAAGGGCATTATCTGAGGCAAGGATGGCTGTAGGCCCAACGAAAACACATAGTAAAAAAGACTGCATCTAGTCAGCCAAATATTGTCTCGATGATATTTGTGTCCATGCTATCACTAGCACACTTTTAGCAAAAGAAAGACCAAAGCTCAAACATGTCGACCTATCCACACAAATTTTCACTACATCTGTGAATTGGAGAAAGCTGGCTTTTTGTGGAAAAGCATTGCACTCAGTGACTCGATGATTCCATAGCACGCCATTGTATCCGTCCATGGGTTAGAGATCTGACCCAGAATAATAGTAAGATTTGATAGTATGTTGTGATTGAGAAGGTAATTTAATAAATAAAATAGAGACTTTTATTCAAGCAATAATAAACTCTCAGAATGAACTAAGTATCCTGTAAACAAGAACACTAATCAAGATGATAATATTTTGTGACAAGTCAAAATATAATAAGAAGGCAAACAAAAACCATATAATTAATTAATGGCGATTAATTAATGGTTATTTAGGTCATAGGGCAATGTGAATGTCAAAGACGGCCAGGCATTTTCCCATATCACATTATGCGCTGGATTGTTGATGAATTGTTGCTATAGCAATTGACGAAATAGGATGAGCATAGCTAAGATATTTAATCTATTGATAGTCTCGAAAACCTACTTATTAATAAAAAGATAAAGTCATAAAAACAATGGCCATACACTACACTAAATAAGCACAGTTTTAAAAGCCATAAGACTACATAAGATGTCTAGCGTGGATAGGAATATCAAAATGGTACTATTTTGAGAAGGTTTGTTGCCTATAGTTACGATAGTTAGTGCACAGATATCGTTTGAGCTTGTTAAAACAAATTAACCATATTTACAAGGAGACTTCGACGAACTCAGCCCGTAAAACGTCCTTAAGCAGTCACTTTTTCCTTTCGGTTTGGTGGCAAACGTTCTTAACTGGCAATGCCAAGGAAAGATATAAAGCTTAAATGAAAAATTCCGGACTAACACTTGAATAAAATGCAACTAAAATTATAGAGGATTTAGTTTAATTATTTGTTACGGAGTCTTAATGTAAACATAAACAAGATGCAAAAACAATGACAAGCCAGCACTATAGCTAATTTACTTTGCACAAGTTTCCGTGTTTCCACCTTACAAACCACTTTGAAAAGTAAAGATTTTATTCTGCGAAAGTGTCATAGACTACCTGAAAATCACTCAATTTAGAGAAGTTATTTTAGGTATTCAAATTAAAAATTTACTTTTATAAGGAATATACGGCATGTATTGTCTTTAGTCATACAACACAATTTTAAGAGACAAAGTGTTTGAAGTTATTGGATAAAGAATGTGGAAAATCATAAGGAAAAATAATGAAATGCTTCCGATAAAATCTGACCTCTCGTTTCTTAGCTTCGTTTCTGCCGTATTTTGGAAATAAGTAGGCAAGAATGTTGCCACAGCAGGCTGCCATGTGAACCATTGGGCCCTCTTTACCAAGACTCAGCCCGGCAGCAACTCCAAGAACCATGCCAACAGACTTGATCAAAAGAGTCCATTTACCCAGATAGCCACGGATAATAAATCCGCTGAGAATTGTTTTGATCTCAGGGATACCACTACCTATAGAAAGAGCAGCAGGGGACGGAAAAGGGTAACAAGTAATCGCACAAATAAAAGACACAAATATCAAAACAATTGTCCATAGATGTGGTTATTGTAGGCAAATAAGAGTGAATTAAAGCTAGACCGAAAGTAAACAAAAAAAATCTAATTTTCGGCATTAAATTCAAAAAGTACGAGATATGCAAATTGTTATTACATGTAGACTAAGATAATATATAGCAAACTGTCACTAAGTATACAGGCCTATATTGCAACCAGCTTAAAAAATATTAATGATTTTGGCATTTGAAGATCGAATCCTGATCAAATCACTATAGTGTCGGATAAATTCAATGACTAATTCAACTAGGCCCCTAGTGAAAAACTGGATCTAACAAAACGCAAGGAACTTTGTAGGAGCGACAGAGACCTTGTGAAACGTACCCAGTTCTGCTTCCTCTGCCATAGCATTAATGATCATTTCCAGAATTGGACCATTGACTTGGTACATTCCCAGACGTTTTGCCATCAGCGTCAATGAGAGATGCGATTGATTAATAGTGCTTCTAATTGGAGGTGCCGACTACGAGGTCAGCGAAACGTCTGGGAATTTACCAAGTCAACGGTTCATTGCCGAAAATGATCATAAATAATATGGTAGAGGAAGCAGAACTGGGTCTGTTCATTAGGTCTTGCTGTCGCTCCGACCGTAGCAAAAATGAGATCAAGACAACATTATACAGCTAAAAGGGACTGCAAACAAACAAAATGCCACACCATCTTTATATTCATATCTACGAAAAAAACAAGGAAGCTATGAAATAAAATAACGAAAGACCATAGGTATTACAGTTGGCCTTCAAGATATAAGTAAAAACTAAAATTTGACAGATTTTCAAAGCCGATAAATCCAATTTAAGGAGGCTAGATAAAAATTTGGAAGTTTGACATCATGCAAATGATAATGGCGAGGTCATGCTTCATAGTAGCCCATTGCTTACTCTACTTATAAGTGTCATAATCCAAGCGTGTGTGCATGCTAAAATACGGAATGAAACGCCCAAGTGAAATATTTTCAAATATAAAAATAATTCCTTTTGAATCAAAATGGAAATAAAAACAATTAGTTCATGGGCCTACAGACCTGACAGTAGACAAAAAAGGGTGCTTATGAAAACATTCAATCAAGATACAACGTACCGCAGGCGTATGGCGCGAACATCTTTACAAGCAAGACGCAAAGACCAGAAAACAGGAATGCCCAAAACACATAGGCTAAATAGCCGACAAAGTATGCGTCGGGATGTTCGCCTGAAGGATCCTTATTCATGAAGAGCCGAGACCAGGAGTACCACTAGCAGCGGAAAAAGATCAAACAGATATAAAAATAAGAATAAATGGGTAAAAAAATAAACCAATAAAAAATAGCTCGAATTTAAAAAATGAGAATTATTCTCGATTACATACTGTGAATGGAAGTAATATCTTTAAGGATTTCGTAAATGATAATTTTAAGTGAGTGTTGTGCAAGAAATAGTTCTTATTGTTACAAGTTTTTCGACGTTTTTAATAGCATATTTGTAAGCATAAGGTCCATGAGTTTAAAATAAAATATATTAAGGATATCGGAAAGCAATGCGACCTCAATTCGGAGCTTTGTGTTGGTGTGCTAATATGACCGAAAATAAAGCTATAAAACAGTAACCAAACATGTAAGCTAAAGATTTATTTAAAAGGTTTAAACTCGTTTTAAATTGACCTAGTTGGTTCTAAGGAGCTTCGCCTGAATTGTAAATGAGCTTAGCCATTATTAGCACCAAGCAACGAGGCGTCAGAGACAAGTGAAGTCCATCCCTTGACCAACTTTCGCTAAAAAATTGAGGGATATCTTCATTTCTGATATATCCACCTAATCTATATCCTCTTATCTCGCTTAACACATGACAAATTCTAACTTGATTAGCCTAAGATACTATAGGAGTTCGCCTTTGATTAGCAAACACTCAACGAGTTAGAATTTATGAGACAGAAGGAGAGGGATCTGAGCAAATGGATTTAGTGGCTATATCCGGACAGAAGGATGTATACCACAATTATTCAACATAAACTGGTCAAGGGTTAGACCTTAGCTGCATCTTTGATGATATGTAGCTTGGAGTTAAGAATTGCAAAGCTCACTGACGATGCCGGCGAAACATCTGGAAGGGTACAAATCCACGATCTGATACTCAAAAGCAAATTTTTCTTGAAATCTAACAAAAATAAAATAACGTAATAGGATAACATTTCCGAAATTATGTTGCAGGATTT